TGGGTAAGGAGATCAGCAAATGGTTTTGCTGACGCCCTAGCAAAACAAGGGACTGTAAGGGAGAGTCTTTTTTGGGCAGTACTGTAATGTTTGATGTTTATTGGATCAACCTTTGCTAATAAGGGTTGAATTCTGTATTTCAGGTTACTTTATCTCTAATGAAAGTTACCGTTTCTGATCAAAAAAAATAATAATAATAACACAGCTAATTTAGCAGCTCTTTCAGGAACTTTCTAATGTGTGCAGCAGGTCCACACAGGACTGCTGACATGCAGTATTTGCTCCTGTAGCAAAAACCTTTTGGTTAGGAAACCAACAAACCTCACCAAGTAGAAAATTAAAAGATGAGGACCTTTTTTCCCATTATATGATTCATCTGTTACAGTTACAAACTTAAATCCCCTGGATGTACACTAATTATAAGGATTGGAAATGACAACCATCCTTTATTGGATATATTCCATGTGGAAGGATACTAGAGCAGCACTACTTTGGACTGTTTGGGAGGAAAGAAATGCAAGAATTTTCAAAGGAAAAGAAAAAAAGTAAGGAAGCCTTGGTCGAAACAATAATGTTGAGGGTGGCACACTGGGCAAAAAGCTTGAAGATGTTTTCATATTTTAAGGTTGAAGACTTTTTTAGGGTTTGGGGTGTTATTGCAGCCTCTTGATCTACAAGAGATAAAATTGTTGAGGCATGGTCTCCCCCAAAAGATTGCTGGAAGAAGCTGAACTTTGATGGGAGTTGTGTGGATAATCCGGGCCCCTCAGGCATTGGGGGGGGGGGATTAGAAATGAAGATGGAAATATCATTGCTCTGTACTCCGGTCCTGTGGAGCAGGTTGATGTGGCAAGATCAGAGTTTCTAGCTGCAGCATATGGGGTTGAGAAGGCTAAAGAGTAGGGTATTAATAGACTGATCATTGAGGGAGACTCAAAAACTGTGATAAAGTGGTTACAGAAGGGGGAAGGGGTGACATAGCAGTTTGAGGAATGAATTCAGGAGATTTAAATAGCTGTCAAGGGACATGTCAATCCATGGGAGATGGGTGAGGAGATCTGCCAACAGTTTGGGCTCATTTGTAATTCTGGTTTGGGTCAGCTTACTAAAGCTGGTCTCTTTCACAACTTCTTGTTGTATCCATAATTTTTCTATTTAATGAAATCATTTCAGAGTTGCTGATCATAAAAAAAAAAAAAAGATGTAACAGATCCTCCCTATTCACTAGCATATGGAAGTGGAACACCCAAATTGTGACAATGTAAACCCCATGCGCACAAACTATTCTATCTTATTCTACAACTAAAAAAAATTATTTTACTATTATTACTGTTATTATTTTCTGATAATCATATAAGCAAATAAGATTCGGTCCATTATGTTAATTTCAAACTCCTAATTTACAGTTGCATATTTTTTCAATTGTTCCACCCACTAAACACTCATTCCACATTTTCCCCTGATCTGGAAAAAAACATTATGCTGCTTAACCATGAAGACCTGAAAAGACTCCAAAGAAGGAAGCGAAGTTATTGTCACAACTTCTCTAGTACTTGGTCAATTCAAGCTGGCATTCATCAAGTTGCTAGAGCAGAATTACTAAACCAATCAAGAGTAGGCAGAACCATACGGAACTAGTTCATCTAAGGCTTTTAACTGAATTTGATATGGACAACAGGAAAACCCAAAACAATAGATATGAAAGTCGCCATAATGCTTTATCAATTTCCACCCCCGAACATGGCCATCATTTTACCATCTATGTTAATTTAATTCTAAATGGTATTCATTCAAGACACCCTATGTATAGTTGTATATCAGTTCTAAAATCCGGAAACATCTCTTCAAAGGTCTAAGTCAAGAACATCCAGAAAAGAAAAGGAAATATATAACCCACATAGCGAGAGTAACCAATATCAGGGCTTACCTGAGGTTTGGAAAAAGAGAATCCGAACAACCACCTCTACCTAATCGAACAAGAATTCCCTAACTTCAGACATTACAGTATCACCATCCTCATCTACTCTGGAACTTCCACCAACACCCACACGACTCCCTCCCTCAACTGGTCGGCTAGACACAGTCTCCCCACTGTTGGCAGGCCCTGCCGAGCTTGTCTCAACTTGTGCCATCTGAGTAGAATCCACCGCCGTTGACCTCGCAGGGAACACAAGCCTGTGCCTCCTAGCAATATGCCTCAAAGTATTCCCTATTCCAAAAAAATCATCGTCATCGATCAAATTTCCGAACCTCACCGCAACCCTTGTTCTTCGACAGGGTCTCCGGTCGGCTTCGTCGGTCGGCAGACAAAACCGACAAACGGGGCATGAATTGTGCTGTGACAGCCAAGGCAAAATACAATCGGAATGGTAGATGTGCTTGCAAGGCAACTGCTTGGCCTCACCGTCGATCTCGAACTCATCCTTGCAGATGGCGCATAGAATTGTGTCAGAGGCCAAGAAGTTGCCGCTGATCTTGATGGTGGGGATGGACTCGACGGAGGCCTTGGAAGCGGGAGTGGAGCCGGGGGGAAGGAGCGTGTCGGGATCGTCGTCGGGATCGGCGAGATGCTGGATCAAGCGATCGAAATAGGGACTGTCAAGTAGATAGCCGGAGGAGGAGGTTGCGAGGCGGACAGCAGCGGGGATGTCGAGAGACTCATCGTCGGCGTCGAGATCGTCGTCGGTAGTGGGTGTAAGGATATGAGAAGGGGAAAGGATGGAGAAAGGGTCGAGGGGAGGAGGGAAATGAGGGTGGGTGGAGAGGTCGTTATCAAGGTTAAGGTTAGGGTTAGGGTTAGAAGGGAAGGAGGAGAAGGGGAAGAGAGGGGACTCCATTTCTTCGAGGAAGTCTCCTTGACAGAATGGGCAATGGAGCGAGGGAGAGTTGGGCGAGAGAGAGACGCTCATATCGCATTCGTGACACCAATACGCCTGTTGCCGGTTACTGCTCGTGGTGGTTGCACCGGCGCCGGTTGCCGTGACGGTAGCGGTAGTTGCGTTAGCCGAAGACATACTCTCTCTCTCTCTCGTCACACCCCTCCACGGTTCCACCGGAAGTTTGTCTGTCTAGMGYGGCAGTGCACTTGATCTTTTTTACTGGATTGCTTTTCTTCGGAGAAACACAGTCGAGCTATCGCTTTCCTCATTCACGTGAGGTACAGCTCTTTTTGTCGTTGGATTGGAATCTAAGTGACCAAATAAAAATGATTAATAGGTCGTCTGCATGAAGCCGTCGCTTTGGCCGAGTGGTTAAGGCGTGTGCCTGCTAAGTACATGGGGTTTCCCCGCGAGAGTTCGAATCTCTCAGGCGACGAGTGTTTTTACTTATTAGGGTAAATTACAAACACCCAAAGACCCCTGTGATAATGAGACAAAACCCCATTTTTCTATGAAATTCGCCGTTGCAATATTTTTTAATCTCCCTACTTTCTTCTAATAATTATTCCGTACTATTTATCTTCCGAATCTTTCTTCTTTCCCTTTCCCTTTCTCTTCTCACCTTTCTTCTTCCCAAAAAAAACATAGCAGATATTGAGCACGAAATTCGGTCCCAACACCAGCGTAGCTGATCCAGTGATTGCCGCCGACGATGCTATGGATGTCATAATAACGAAATAAAAAAGGCGACTTCTTTCTATACCACTAGCAACCAACCTTCTCCTTAAATTCATTTGTTGGTCAATCATCTCTGATGCCCATTTGCCATTTGCTCCTTCTCCCCTCTTTCCTCTCYCTTTCCCTTTCCCTCTCTCTATCTCTTTCTTTTCCTATTTCTTATAAAAACTCCGAAATTCAACTTCTCAATTGAGCGAGCCATAAGGACAGAATTCCAGACTCGATAATGGAGGTGGTGATACCGGCACCACCCAGCGGCATGGATTTTAACTTTGACAGCGCCTGCTCTTCCCCCTACATCAGCGCTCCTTCCAACCCCAAACGCTTTGGTGAGTTCTTTAGCGCTCCCACTAGTCCTACTAGGGCTGCTACAATCTACCGTGGCTTCAGACTTCTCCATCACCAGTGGCATCGGCGGCAGGGGTGGCTCTTCTTTGGTCATCCCATTTGACTGGGAACAGAAGCCTGGAAAGTCGAAATCAAGTGACACCCAGAACAACAATGACGACTTCGCCTTTGATTTCAGTGGTCGGTTTGAGACAGCTTTGCTCACCGCCAATAAATTCTTCGACGAAGGTGTCATTAAACCTTTAAAACTTCCTCCTTGGTTACAATAGGTTCCTAGCGGATTTGACGAGTTTGCTACTCAGAAGAGCGTTGTTTCGTCGCCTAGGTCCCCAAGATCACCAATCTTGAAGGGGAAAAGTACAATCCGTGAAGCGTTGTCCCCGCGACACAAGAAAGACTTCGACTCATTCGCAGTTGCAATAGAGCAAGCGCGTAAAGGATCAAAACGAGATCGAGGGAGAGAAAGGTTCTCTGGTTTGAATTCCGGCCATAGGGGTACCCGATCGCTGTTGCCATTAGAATTTCTGCATTCGCATGGGAAGAAAAAGAGCAACAGCAAAGCACCAAACCCGCTTTGTCAAATTCAAAATCCTCTTCTACATCGTTGTCGTCTTTGAAGGGGAGCAAGAAATGGAGGCTGAAAGATTTTCTGTTGCTCCGAAGCGCTTCAGAAGGTCTAGCGACGAAATCATATATAGATTATTTTTAATTTTTTTCTAATTTCTGCTATTTTATTTCTTCTTTAAATTTTTTTTCTGATTTCTTTTATCCAGAAATTTGTTATCTATGGATGGTCAGCTGTCATCACTGATCGGCTTCTTCAACTCCACAAATTTCGTCAATCAATCTCAACCCCAATATATCTCTCCCTGTAGCCAATATCTCTTGAGATTTTATTCATCTCCATTATTTTTCCTGCAAAATATTTTAGTTATTTACTTCATTTTTTCTAATTTCTTAGTTCACGTGGCCAGATTTGCTCCTGCTCCGACTCCGGCAACAGACTGTGGCGGTAATGATATGTGGTGGAAGAATGGTTCGGAGCCGAAGAAGAAAAGGTTAAAAGAATAGGATTTCTTGGAGAACAACTCCCAGATATCTTCGGTGGATTTCTTGCAAACACGGTCGGTTTCCACAGGTTTGGGGTTGTCCCTAGATAATAGGTGTATGGCTTCTTTAAGTGATTCACCTCTTTTCTCGCTCCTCGATGACGATATCGATGGGGAATTGCAGAGGCAAGAGGCGGAGATGGATCGATTCGTCAAAGTTTAGGTCTGCCTTTGTTTCGATTTTTTCCCAATTCTCGAGCTTCCGATCAATCGACAGCTCCGGTTCGAGGAGAAGAGGGCCAGTTTCAGCTCACGAGTTGCATTACATGGTGAATCGAGTGATATCTGAGTTGAAGAAGAAGACCTTCTTGCTGTACAAACAGGGTCTTTTGGAGAGAGAAAGGAGAAAGGAAAGAAGAGAGATCTGGGGAGAGAGAAAGGGGAAAGGAAGAGACATCTGGGGAGAGGGAGGACTTCGGAAATCCGCTGCCGCTACAACAGCTACCCCGCTGTTGTTCGTGTCATGAGGTTAGGGAAGATGAACAGTATTTTTCTTCGAATAGTTATTAAAAAGGTAATATGAGAATTAAAAAATATTACAACGACACATTTCAACGAAAGGGGGCCTTTGTCTCACGGTCATAGTACAGGCGTCTTTGTCACCCCCATAGTACGGGGTCTTTATAATTTACCCTATTTATAACCCACTCTTGACATACGTTTACCTGTTGACCATTTCGAAGATGGGGTGCGTTGTATGCAGCTTCTCTTACGCCATGTGGCGCATAGTACATTAAGAGC